GATCTCAAGAAAGGAGGCGGCACTTGCTTGCCCGTTGCCGTAGATGAGGCATGTACCAACGGCAGGGCAATGTCCATAGAGGCACTCGCCTGCAGACACAGCATCTGGTCTAGTAGATGACAAGAAAGGGACGCCGGCAAGAAGGTATGGGTACCTTCCCAGTTTGACAAGTTGCAGATGACATGGTGAAAGTAGTGCTATGCAAGTGACATGCGCGAAGTAGAGCCACCATCAGCTCGAACCCTCACTTGTAGAGGCTATGACATTGGTTTGATGTGATAAGAGCTCAGTGGACGGGTGCAGGTGCTTGTCATGCGTCCTGTCATCGACTATGAAATGAACGAATGCACGACTGGGTTCAGGTAAAGGGGGAGGACAAGTTCTGTGACGTTTCAGTGCATGGCTTCAGGATCCAACGAGATCGAGATAGCCTTCTGGGTTTCGACAACAAGAGACTCTGAGAACGAAGGTGGTGTGGCTGGACCCAATGGCGCTGTTCCTCTTCTGTCGCAACGTGACGAGAGCGTGGAACAGCTGCATGGCATGACCTGGCATGGCCTGGCGAGCCTGGACTTCTGAACAGGAGAACGAGGTATGTTAGACTGCATGTAAGGAGCAGATGGAAGTTGACGTCGGTGAGGGTAATGTGATGGCTTGCATTCCTAGTCCATACGCCACTGATGAGAGGAAAAAGCAAAAATCATCTGACACCCAGTTGCACCGCTAGGACTGCATCAAAGGTCTCATCGACGCTCATTGGGTGGCACTCCACGGCGGCATTGTGATGCGTGTGAAGAACAGAGCAAAAGTCCGTCGCAAGATGCGCGTGACAGTCGGAGCAGCGTGGGATATAGGAGGCAATACGAGACCATTTCGAGGAGGAGTGTACGAAGTAACGAGGACAGAAATTCAGGAGAGTGGCGACATCCAGGCTCTTCAGAGTAAAATCAGGGTAGATCTAGTCTCCCTACGATGCGACTTTGGCGGTATGTATTCTTGTGCCCTACATTGGCAAGGTGGAAACTCGGCTGGCGTTACACAAAGCCCAGCGAGCACGCCCCTGCCTTCTAGCGCGGCTTTATGCCCACGATCCGGCAGGTGCTTCCCTGATAACGTACCCGAAGCAGTAGTTGCCGTTTCATGGCTCAGATCTCTTCAGATCATTGGGTTTGTTTCGCCTGGGGAAGGTACCTGAAGGAGATAGGTAGGTACCTATGTAGGTAGGGAGGCAGTTTAGTCTCTATCTCGATCTTTCAGCCTTAATCCGGCATTGAAGCTTGGTAGATGGCGCAATTTGCGAGATCTTGAATCTTGGATACTGGTTCAATCCTGTAGACCTCGGGAGCACCTTCCCTGCCTAGCGTACCTCGTCAGTATTCTAATTAGGTAGGTACCTTTGAGACAGCAGTGCCCACTCAGCTGCTCTTTCCGGTTCAGACATGTCTTCCTACCTACCTAGGTACTTCTGGGGCTCGGATGACCAAAGAGTGTGTGCTATGGGGTACAGCTACAGTCGAAGACAATCTACTGACATGGCTCTTATGACGAAGCCTCTTCGCCTTTAGGTAGCTGGGTGTGCACCTGAAATTGGGACATCTGAGATGGGTCAACACGACAGACAGATACGTACTAGGTACATGTGTTGCTTTGAGGCGTCATCCCTCTAATGTTGCACGAAAATTTGACTTGCTCCTCTTGGAGAAGGAATAATAGCATTTTGCAGGTCGCCTGTCCTTTGATGGCTTTTCCCTGAAACCGTGTACCTGTCAGTCGTATCCCGCAGATGGCTCACGGATTGAGAGTACTCCTGGCAGGTGGTAAAGGTTTGTGTAACATTGAATTATCCCCTTTATTATAGAGAGAGTAGTGTACTCGACTAGGCTTGGTTACACCCGACTGTTTCGGTAGAGTGCCAGGGGGTATTATAAGGCAGTCGCTTATTACTTTAGTGCCTTCCTAACAAGGTCTGCGCGGCACCCGTAGCTTTGGCACCCCCACCTTGAGCGGCCCCACATCGGTAGAATGGAGCTACCCACTGCCGTGCGAGGCGCGTCCTCATCGGAGCTCGACGCGTCTTTCAATCAAGATACCTCCGGAGGTGACGCCGTTGAGAAGCCCAGCAAGGCCTACTAGTGATTCATCCAGGCCATCACAATGGAATTGGATGATGATATTAACAACGTCCGAAACCTCGTTAGCGATATTGTCGAGGGTGAGAAGGCCCAAGCTTTGTGCTCAGAGATGGTCTAATTCATGTGCAGCATCGAAAGTTCCAGCAAAGCGGCGACAAACAAGCATCAAGTCAAGGGTGGATGATCTGACATCGCTCGTCTATGAGCACGGCCTCCTACCCGATGATCTGAAGGAACTCGTTGATCTGATCACTACCCCCAGCCATCTAGATCAGGCTAGTCTCGCTTCTATCATCAAGAACTTGTATCCTATCGGCAAGGTAGCGGACGACATTGTCTTGAAGGTTGTAGGGTCTTTGGGTCATGGCCAGCTCAAACCGTCTCTTGCCATTCAGTCCCAGCTCTTGCGCTGGCTGATACTAGTATATCATGCCCTTAGAAGTCAAGTAACTCTATCGCAGGCGTACGGCGTCCTGTTCAATCTTCTGGAAACGGCAGCCATCAGGTAAGCGGTGCAGACTGTCAAGTTAGTTCAGGCTACTAATGTCATCCGTTAATAGACCGCAGCTTTGTCATATCTTAGCCTTGATCACTCGTCGGAGACATGTTCGGCCACATAGAATTCAAGCTGTGTACGTTGATGAACAAACAAGTTCGCATTTGGTTGCTAACCGGTCTAAGTCTCAATTTGTCACGACAAACAGGTCACGATCCTGGTCTGCTCGGGTTGTTACGAGTTTTCAAGAACTATTACCCGGAGATTATTGTTGGAGAAGCCACGAGAGGAAAAGCATCTCCCTTCAAGGTTAGTCGCCAGTTCCGCCTGCTATTTCTCAAAGAAATGCTGAACCATTTAGCACCCTGACCCGCAATGGCGAACTCGGCTGGATGAGATCCAGATAGCTAGACGTAAACAAGACGAAGATGGACTCCAGGCACCCCAGAATGGATTCCGGGTAAATCACCAACGAATCAACCAGATCAAGGGAAAGGCATTAGCGGCCATCCCAGTCGTTCATACCACGCATGCCCAAGAAGCAAGTCTTTTTTTCTGATAATCGAAGTCGATGTTTCGTGCTAACACAATTTTAGTCATCTATTACACTCGAGGAAATTGACAGCCCAGACGTCCTGGTACAAAGTCTCGAGAAAGTTGAACTGCCAAATCAGCTCATCGCTGTACTAGCGGATCCCTTACTCCAGAAATTGATGCATCTAAGGCCAGACCACGATGCTCATAGGAGAGCTAGTAACTGGATAACGTCCTGGATATCAGACGTGTCCAGTGGTGATGTAGACCCTACCGGTATGGCTGATATTCTCGAATCTATAAGGGACTATGCTGCGAGTGCCAAGGTTTGTTTTTTCCAGATTTACACAATACATCAATATACTGAGGAGATATGATAGACGCTCCCTCCGTTGTTCTTACAAATGACACGAGAACTCTTGCAAGTATGGAACGGAATTGGCAACAAAGATATTGTCCTCGACTTGGTGTCTTATTCCCCATTGATAGAGTTCGATGGTGTGTGCGAAAACCTCCTACAGTTCATCAGTCGCTAATTTTAGAAAGTGCTTTATTCCTCAATACTTCAACCCATGGAGGCTTGTGTTCTCGACAACACTGCTGAATCTCAGCTAACGCTCCTGTCACAATACACTTTACTCCTGCGCCGTTGGGCTACCATCCTTTTATCAGATACAGAAATTCCTCTATACACGGCAGACACGGTCACACGTCTGGTTGAACATGTCAACAAGCTATCCCTCACGATCATACAGACTTCGTCATCGGCAACAACCCAGATGGCGATTCTCGATTTCTACGAACAGGTTACTTTCATGATCAGACAGCCAAAAATCCTTCAGCGTACCCAGGTCACCATTCCTCCAGCGACTCTAGTCTACATGTTCCACTTTAGCTCCTTCCCGGCCACTGTGTCTAGGCTCTGCGGGATCCTTGCTCTCTACAAACAGGCCCTCGAACAAATCATGACTAGGGTGTTGAAACGACAACTGACGCCGTATGAAGTTGAGCACGTCGATACATTCAACGGCTTCCTCATGGATATCTGCAATTGTGTTTGGCGTGGCAAGGCATTCACCAAGACAGACGCGAACGCTCAGGGGTGCCTCGCGCCGCAGATAGCCGTTACGCGGCTAGGAACATATGTTTCAAGCCTTGACAAAGGTCTCGACCTGGCGTCCCTCTTCACCATCTCGTACTCGCCCGCCCTTGCGTTACAGTCGATCTCGCATGTTCGTCAACTTGAGGACGCAGAGGTTGAGGAGAATGACATAGAACTTCGCATTCGACACGCTGGTCCTGTGACCCAGACTAGTCTTGCTCAGCTCTCAAGACGCGGCGGTCTGATACTCAACTGGCAAGAGTATCGCTCCGGCGTGCTTCAGCATCTTGAGGCAACGGGGTTAAAGGGGGTGCCTGATCTCATGTACAACACGATGAAAAACCTGAGAGATGCGCGGGGAGGGAAGATCAAACCTTGAATGATTTTGGTCTGAAGAGTATTGTTAAGCTCTCTACCATATATAGTGCGTTGAGAATACACGTTAAGTGTACAACAGCAGCATCATAGCTGCGACTGGCTATCTTGCGAGTCCAGTAGCCCGATGAGGGGGTATATAATGTCAAACCAGAACACAGAGAACGCCTCCTTTTCCCGGATATTGGGTCCTGTTGAACCGCCCCCACGAATTTGACGTATCCTTGATCCTGTTGAATGCATCCTCCAACGCCATGTTAAAATGCGTCTTAAACTTTTCATCTATAATGCAAGATGATAGGCCAAAATGCAATGTTGAAAAGAGTTCATCCCCCTACCACCATTCCACGCTGAATATCCTCTAGTCCTTTGGAGGAGGACCTTTGGTAGACTCGTCACCATAACCCCCAACACCAGTCAGATGGGCATAGCTCTTCCCCTCCGGACCGCGTTTATGCTGGCTTCTCGGTCCACGGTCCTTCAGGTCGTCCCGCAACCAGCCCAGCACAAGCTCGCCCAGCCTGGAGTTGCCGCTCGCCTCGCCCTCGAGCCTACTCAGGAAGCTCTCCGCGGGGCCCCATTCCCGCACCGTGCCCAGATGCATGTGGACGAGATGCGTCGGCCAGCCAGCCAGATTGTCTAAGATGTGAGTAGCGTAGACGATCGTGCAATCACGAGACTCGGTCTCGGCGCGCAGCCAGCCCAGAAACTGCGCACGGCTCCACACATCCAGATCAACGGTGATCTCGTCCAGCAGCAGCACCGTCCACGGCCGCACGAGGCCCATGGCCAGCTGCACGCGGCGGCGCTCGCCGTCCGACACGGCGTGCATGCGCCAGTTCGTGTCGATGTCGAGCACGCCGACCAGCTCGTCTCTCCTCTCCGGGTAGGCGTCGCCGCCGACAGACCGCAGCAGTTCCGAGACGCCAATGTCTGTCCGCACGATCGGGTTCAGCACCCACTCCAGCCCCAGGTACGTCACGCCCTCGAGCCCGTCGGTGAACGGGTCCACGCCCGAGATCTTGATGGCGCCACCAGGCGCAAGGCGCTTGCCCGCCAGCAGTCGCAGGAGAGTGGTCTTGCCAGCGCCATTGGCGCCTATGAGCAGCGTGCGAGACCGCGGCGGCACGTTCAGGGATATGTGCGACACGCCGGTCGACATGTCCGGGAAGTGATATGTCAGATCATTGACGTTGATGGATGGCGGGAGTGGGTGAGGTGCGGACATTGTGACGATTGTAAGGGGACGGATGGAAATGAGGAGGGAAAGGAATATTGAATAGCAAGAATGAACAACTACGAAGAGATAAATTTTGCGTCTTGAGGTTTTAGATGTCACTTCAGAGTCTATTTAGACTCAATCTCGCCATATGAGCCGCCAATGAGTCGAGAAAGATTTGAGATTCTAGCCCGTGATGGCAGGTGAATGATGCGCATTAGTGGGGTGATAGAACTCCAGTGAGGGGCGCCAGCGACTGCCCTTACCAATCGGCATGCTAAGTCCACTTGTCTCTCGGCTCTTGTCAGGTACGGGTCCAAGATCTCCCACTCACAGCGGCGAGAGCTTCAAAATTGGCAGCAGAAGTACTCCAAGGGTTGTTGCATGCAGACAATAGCACATACATCTACCGGGTGCAGTGGGAGCTGAAGACAAACATGGATTTATGACACCATGACTAACACAATTCTAATTAGGGCATTTATAAGTCAAAGCTCGCCGTGTGTGTACGGTTTTGGATGCATCCAAGGGGTCTCCTGTCAATTGACTGCTGATTTGACCCAAGGTGTGAAGACGGCAAAGCCTCTACTTAGCGCATTATAACATCATCTAGACTCTAGTATGGCGGAACACTCTGCAGCCAGGGGCTGCTCAGATCCGTGAAGAAGCTCGCTCCCTGAACAGTTGTGGGTGCATCTACCGCAGTAACATTGCAATTCGTCACCCAGTTGCCCTGAGCGGCATATTTATCCTCCACATACTTGACATAGTCGCTCAAAAGACAAGACTGTCCAGGGCCATTCTTGCAGCTCGGGATTGTGTACACAGCATCGTTCAACTTGACTCGGATATAGGTGGCGTTGTGCGTGTCTCGGCGAATATTCGTCGACCTAGCGCTGCGGCGCGACTTGCAGCTCGAGGGCTTGATGCAGTTCAGCCTCTCGAACGCAATAGTGCCTCGCATGGACACGAAGTGCGATCCGATAAAGAGCCTGCCGTCGTCCTTCTCGGTGGCGGAGAGGGTTGCCTGCTCATCGAAAACGCCGCTCGCGGTCACGAGCTCCGTGAGCTGGCCGTCGTTCAAGAAAGACATCAAGAGCTTTGGGACCTCAAACGAGCCGCCGTCAACGGATGTGCCATTAATACCTGGACCCTCCTTGAGTAATCCTACAAGGCTCTTCAGGAAAGGCGTCATCATCTTCTGATTGAGATCTGTACCAGGTCCGATGCCATAGTAGTAACGAAGATCGTTGGCATACTCGTACTGCTTAAGTTCCTCGTCGGTAAAGACACTGCACCACGGAGAAAGCCTTCCAGTGATCTGGCTCTCAAACCCGCAAAGATATGGCATCTGCGATATGTCGGTCTGGGTAAACGTCAGGTTGCCGTCAATCAACTCCTGGAGGCGCTCTTGGATCGGCGGGATGTAGACATTGGCCCACTGCGACCCGTAGGCTGAGCCCTCTGTGTCCTTGAAGTTGGGACACTGGTCAGAGGGAGCTAGGGAGTTGCCAATAGCGCCATCAAATCCCTTTGATGTCACGGACAAGACATTGCCGTAAGTAGCTGCGAAGGGACCGAGATATCCTTGGACAAATGCCTTTGCTGTCTGAAGCACTCGGGTATAATTGTTGGCCCAAACAAAAAAGTCATCGCCCTCATCGTAGAGTTGAGGATACCTGTTTGACATTAGTGTGAGGGTTTGAATAATTCGATGGACTTCACAAACCTGGTTCGTAGTTGATAACCGAGATCCTGTGCTTCTTTAATACCTGTTGGGCTTTCTTGAGCTATCTGCAAGGCCGGATTGGTGAGGACCGTCTTCCATTCGGGCAGGAATGAAAGACTACCCTTGGCAGTATAACCACCGGCCGAGAACTGCGATGCAAATTGCTTCAGTTCAACTTCCTCCAGGAGGATACAGTGCATTTTCATACCCTTGTTTGCATATCTACCCATCCATTGTAGGCGCCCGTGTCAGGATATCTCGAGCCATGACGGACAATGTAAGCCGCCTGGTCTACATAACAATTCTCCGGAACCTCAGGGTCAATATCATAGACATTGGGACCTGGCAATGAGGGTTAGATACTGAATTCCTTGTCTCCCCCAAATACTCACCAGCAAACCAAGGACCATTAGCACCAAGCCACTTAAGAGGTTCAGTGGCAGACTCGCTTGCAGGAAGGTTGATATCTTGAGTTGGAGCAAGGACTTGCGCAGCGGTTGCGGAGCCCACAAGGGCAGCCGAAAGTCTCAATGCAGTCAATAGGGACATTGTCACTCAAGCGACTGTACAAGTCTTTACGAGTCGAGTTGGCGGACTGGCAAGGTCTCGTGAGCCTAGAACGGGTGCAAGCTACAAGGATCACAGCAAGTAGTCAAGGAGAACCAGAGCTACGGGTCCATAGCTTCGGGGATGGGGGAAGATATATCAGATCGTCGCATCGAGTGCCGTGACGATCTTCGCATCCCGGGGCTGCGGGACCCGAGGACTATGGAGATCGCGCAGCTTGTCGCGTACCTACATCCTAACAAAGTTCTAGGAGTCTCTCAGGTACGGAGAAGATCCGCTGATTTGGCAAGGCTCCGGAGGGGCCCCGGTACAAGATAGCCCTAGTTGAGGTTGCAACGGCCCTCATCTAGAGCACGTGTCACCGGCAGAGCAGGCGGTTTGCCGTTGTGAAGAGGGTCCCATCACGGCCGCTTAAACAACGGAGATTGAACCACAGGAGAACGGGGGATCCCTGCACCACACTTCAGGCTGGCCTTGATAACCCTACAGTGACAGTATATCTCGGTGACCTTGGACACGCATGATGAGCTCATCGAGGCCATGAAATCAGTAAGTTCTGAGAAAAAATGACACTTGAGAACAATAGTTCAGTTACTGCAGCAAGCCAAGCACACGTGGTGGCCCCAGGCGCTGGAGCGACGTCAGTTAGTGGTGGTTACGCTAAAAGTTAGCGGCGCCCCAAGATCTCTCATCACTGCAACCGGAAGCGCTGGCCAATAATGAAGCGATCTTGCCTTCTCTACTTACCCGACTTCTTCACCTACCATATGCATCTTGCCGACTGCAGGGTCACTACACCACGTGTCGGCGACATGATCTCATGAGGCTCGCTAATTCTAGCATTCGAATCGCGTAGATACAGGGGGCCCGTTTCCCTGCATTTCCGTCCATGGACAACTCGTTCGCGATACAACCCGCTGCCCGCTTCGCCGGTGAGAGTGAGGCTGTAAGGCGTCCTAAGGTCAGAAAGCACGTGGCTATGCAGCGGGAAAACATCCCTCCCTCGCATTGCCCCAGTCAGAAGGCGTTCGATACTGATGTGACGTCTAGGAGTTTGCCTGCTTTTCATACGACGATGACCACAAATTTCATCTCGGGGATTCTTCTCTCAAATGGTATTATCCACCACAAGTCTTTGGCGCGGATCTCTCAAAGGGATTCGAGACCTTTGACAAGCATGATGACTCTGTGGACGAGCACATCGAAAGTTTGTTGAAGACTATCATCAGCCATGAGCAGGAAACCGGAAAGAAGATTGATGCCCATGTTGTAACTTGGCGCGGAATACTAACGAAGGTAAGTTTATTTGATATCAAATAATGCTAGCTGAGTGTGAGTCTGACCGTGAGACAGATCATGTCATCACCATTTGATGATCGAGATGGGTAACTTCTACTCTGCAGTGAAATATGTCGGACTCAAGCTCACGGCATCATAGTTTTGAATTGAATGCAACTCTCCATCAAGTATGTCCCTCACTTGTCTTTTTACTGAAAATATGATCTGACACCCACGTCCAGGACTGCATGTAAGCAATAACTATCATTCTCAAACAAATTATCAGTATTGACGACTATTCTAGATATATAGAAGAGAATCATGCCTACAAAATGGCTTCTCAACGGGAGCAGGCGTCTCAACAATGGCGAGGACCAATACCACAAGAAGTCATGCAATTCTGGGGTAAGAGACATCCACCATGTCATAGAATGAAAAGATACTGAAAAACTTCTAGGATACAAATTCGAGTCCCTTGCCACTATCCCTCACCCTTGGAGTGAGACAGACCGCGAGTTCATCGAGACCCGCGACAGCCATCGCGTCAGCAACAAGGCGCAGTACTGCTCGGTCGTGCGCACCGGCGTCGGCAAAACCATCCTCTGCCTAGGCGGCGAGGTGGATGCCATATGGGACGCGAGGCCCTCGCAGCCCGGCCAGCCCGTCAACTGGGTCGAGCTCAAGACGTCAGCCGAGATCCGTGGTGAGCGTGACGCCGATAATTTCGAGCGCAAGCTGCTCAAGTGGTGGATCCAGAGCTTCCTGCTGGGCGTCCCAAAGATTATCGTGGGGTTCCGGTCCCGTGACGGCCGTCTGCTGAAGATTGACGAGCTGGAAACTGCGAATATACCTGCTACAGTACAGCAGCACAGTCGTGCCTGGGATGGCAATACGTGTATCAACTTTGCAGCTTCGTTCCTCGACTGTAAGTCACCGATCCTAGAGTATGTGTTAACTGTAAGCCTCGATAGATTCTGACGATTGCTACACAGGGTTGCGGCAAAAGATTGATGATGATGGCGTGTGGAGGATAAGGCGGCGGGCTCGAAGCCAGCATATCGAGGTATACAAAGTTGAGGAGACAGGACATGGAAAGATACTAACGGATGACTTCATCAACTGGCGCATAAAATTGTCTTTGAGCAATATGGAGTGACTTGAGATACCCACACCAGTCAGACATGCTATATAATATTGGTAGAGCGCTGAGCTTTGTAGCTTTGGGGGATCAACACCAGAGATGGATACTGCCCGTGAAAACGTGAAAAGAAGCATCAGACTATCTAAGGGATCATCACAACGAAGCCATTTGCGTGGTAGTATTGCATGTTGTATATTACTACAGTCCTAGTCTATCAAAAATGTCAATGGCCCTAATCCGTCCAACGCCTGCCAAATGCTTGAGGGTCAAGTCCGAGAGCCATCAGGAGATATCATGAAGTCGTCCACGAATCCGATGAATCCCCAAACACCTCGATCGAAAAGCCTGCTTTACCTGTAAATGCAGCGGCAACAGATACAAAATTGATGGCGGGGAAAAAGGACTATCCTACCCTTCCAACATGCTGCGTATGCATATAAACTCAAAAATTCGAGAGCACGAGAACCCAGTTGCCATAGCCCACGGTATTTCTTCGATGCTCTTGTACACGCCGGGTATCGAACATGGTCACTAAGCCATAAACCAAATTTTAATTGCCCGCAATCGCGGGCCATCGAAGCTGCAGTCCGTTCACCCAGCGTCCATACAGGACCTCAGACAGCTGCTTGATGTGCTCCATCCCAGGCTGTGCTTCGCGGCCGGGAAACTTGGCCTCGAGAGCTGCCTTCTCCATATCTCTCAGTTTTTCCTTCTCGGATTTGTCCATCTTCTCTGGGGAGAAATCAGGTGCCAGGCTGCCTTGTCGTCTACGATGGCTCTTCAGATGGGGATTAGCCTGGCTGAGAACCAGCTTCGTCGGGCTGAGCGGCGCCGCCGGGGTCGGCTGCTGACTCTTAATGATCACAGTTCCTTGCGGCGTACTATCATCTAACGGTGTCTTCGAGGCAGGCTGCTGTAGGAAAGCATTGCTCAGCTTTCCGTCCTGCGACACCACTGACACTAGGTTGCGCATGAAGTGGTATGCTCCTTCGGGATCTACAGAGTCTAAAAGACTGAAAGCATCAGACAGCTTAGCTAGAGCCTCTCGCTTTCTCATATCCGAGGTCTGCGCATGAAGTTCTGCCAGAGCGGGATCGAGCGCCCTAGAATACAGCCGATGGCCAAGTATGCCCTCTTTGCTAGAAGCCTCGGCAGGCAAGAAAGGCTCTGGTGGCTGATTTTCGGCATTAGAGTCCGGTGACCTGCCAAGTTGTCCTGACGTCGAGCTGTCTGAGGGGACTCGACGGAAGAGACGCATCGTAGACCCCGTGTTGCCGAAAGACATGTCAGGCTGCAAAGGCCTTTTCGGTGCATGAATGGAGCGGGGAGATCCGTCTGATTCACGAAGTACAGCAGACGTCCGCCGTTGCTGTAAAACTGTGGACGGTTGTCGCCGAACTGTAGACCTTCGCACAGTTCCATTTGCGGGCGATGACATTTGTAGAGGCCCATCCTTGAGATCTAGCTTTCGCATTGCCTCCTCGGTGGAGAAGATTGACGATGGCTTTCGGACTCGTGTAGTTGCCTTCCTTGGTGCAACAGACTTCACCGTATCAAATACCCATTCGTCGAACTCGTCCTTAGGTGAGATTGTATGAAGGGTTTCCTGGTAAAACACTGGGTGCATCTTGCGGGTCAGGTTAACATCGTAAGCACGCTTGCGCTCAATAAGTTCTTGAAGAGCCTCCACCTTGCCAGCTGATCGTACGAAACGGTGCTTTAGGAGGTCCTTGGCTGATGGTCGTCGATCGGCATCTTTCACCAAGCACTGCGAGATGAAATCCTTGAAATCCCTGCTGAATTGCCCTTCTAGTCTAGGAGGCGGATTCTTTGGAATATGGAATAGGACCTTCATCGGGTGGATGTTGGCCAGGGGAGGCTCGCCGTTAGCTAACTCCATGGCTGTGATGCCCAGTGACCAGATATCTGCCTTGAAGTCATACCCGGCCTGTTGAATGACCTCAGGGGCCATCCAGAAGGGGGTTCCGACGAAAGTGTTACGCTGGGATTTGATGTTGGTCAATTGTGCAGCAACACCGAAGTCCGCCAACTTGACTTTGCCATTCTCAGACAGAAGGACGTTGGCAGCCTTGATGTCTCGATGGATCTTGCCCTCGGCATGAAGGTATTCCAGGCCCCGGAGAAGCTCGCGACATATGATGGAGATATGGCCTTCGGCAAAATTGGCAGGCTTGAGGAGGTCGAGGCAAGAGCCGCCGCCCAGGTATTCCATCACAATCCATAGCTTGTGTCCCCTAAGGAAGCTTGCTTTGTATTGGGTGACGAAGGGGCTTGCGCATGTGCTGAGTACAGAGATCTCTTGTTGAATTTCCTGGATGTCATCCTCGCTCGATTCTAGGTCGATCTGTCATTATAGTTAATATAGTAATCTTTCTCCACAGTATGCATTATCGTGATGTGCTGGACTTACATGTTTGATTGCAACCGTTTCACCTGTTGCTCTTTCAATGCCCTTGTAGACAACACCGAAGCTGCCACCTGCACGAGTCAATTAGCCTGGATAGTCCTGAAGAGAGAGGATTGAACGGGAAGCACGTACGGCCAAGCTCCTCCAGAACCTGATAGTGGTTTGAGATACCCTCGTCAGCCATGGTAACTAGTCGTCGTGCAAGATGAGTAGTTGAGGATATCGCCTGGCTTTGCCTGCAGAAGCTAGGAGAGGAGAGGACAGCCGCAGAGAGGGGGAGAGTGTGACGACAGCGACACAGGAGACTCGGGCAGCTGCAACCTCGAAGCAAGCATGCAACCAAGCAAGCAGACTGGCTGTACCTTGGAGGAGGAGGAGGAGGAGGAGGAGGAGGATGATTGGGGTAAGCAGCTGAAGCAGGTCGCAGACTTGGCCGGGTCTACTCTGCTTTACTGTGCTCTGGCAGTGCGAGACAGCAAGTAATAAGGATGTCGAGCTGTTGCAGATGCCCGGCTAGGTTGTCTGGGGCACCGCCGGCTGGCTCGGGCTGGTCCAGATTGGGCTCTGAGCTGGGTGCTGGGTGCTGGTTGCTGGTTGCTGGTGGTGGCAGAAGCTATGACCATTTGTTTACTTTGGAAATTGCGGAGGGGTTGTCGGGGGGAGCCTCCAATACGGGATCATCAATGAGCTAATAGTAGAGTAGATCAGCCTCTTCTCCAGCTATTATCACCGTTGCTCTCTTCATGACAGAAGCATAAAAAAATGGGAGTAATAAAGACAGAGAGACAGAGAAAGTAGATTGATGAAAGAAGCAAAAGTCATACAGTCAGTATATGCTTTCTTCGAATGTGACCTTGCAGACGCAGCTGCAGCTGCAGACTCATCAGTCCCGTCCTGCTCACTTACACCCGCTGCCCACTGAAAGGGCCCAGCTGCAGGTCCCGTCCAAAGGGCTGGGGTCTTCCGCTGCACACTGCCAGCGCTTACTACCTAGGTAGTACCGGGCCTTGACCAAGAAGTTACAGATTGTTATTCATTGCGGGCAGATTGAAGGCTGGCATTAACATGGTATATCATGCTATCGTGGGCTTTGTCTGCAGGTGACATCAAACTGTTGCAGGGGTTATCCACAGGAGAGGAAATGGCAGCAATAGCCCCTCCACTAGTGCAGAAACTGAGTCGTCACCCCAGCAACCACTTCACCAGCTGGTCGGCAGTGTCACAGCCTGGTTGGTGTGAGTGTGGGTGGTGCCCCAGCACAAGACTGTTTATCCTGGATGCTGCTGCAACTCCGTGTAAGCCCTGCTCTCTGGGATCCCCCAATGCCCACCAGATGGCCATGTTCCCAGCCAACCCCGGCATCACACACCTAAGCCCGCTTTTTGGACACTGACTTGGCTCGAGTCCTGTTGCAGTTTGCAAAACCTCCCCCAGCTTTGTTTTCCAGTCCAATATCAGCTCAATTAATACTCCGAGGGCTGCTGTGGTGTGGTTTCCCTGGACCTGACCATTTTGGTATTGACATTGATATCCGCATTGACACATTGTATGGCGGCCAGCACCACCACTTCCACCTTATTTACATCACTGCGCAAGCAATGCTGAATCCTCGGCCTGGCGCCTTCGTAATCTGACAAAGCGATTTGACTGCCCCTCGTGGCCTCGAGAAAACACGCACACGCCCAGCCTACGCGGTGAGGCAACACAGGCGACAAGATGGTGCCCGCACCGCCGCCTCTACCGACGCGGTTCCCGTGCTGGGTCAGGGCGGTCTACTCATGGGGAGGAGAGGTAATTTGCAACCCGATTTTGCGGACAGAATTGTTTTCTTGTAGGAGCCTCTTCTCATACTAACTCACATCACAGTCAAAACGAGACCTCGGATTCATAGAAGGCGACCTAATCGAGTGTCTGAATGCCGGCGATGGATCGTGGTGGACAGGAAGATTGCGGCGAGACAGGAGAATGGTCGGCGTGTTTCCCTCCAATTTCGTCGAGCTGCTGCCCGACGACTTCAGGCCTATGAGCAGATCAACTAGCCCGCTGCCACCAAACAGCAATACTCCCAGCCCAAAGAACACTCCGCAAAAGTCAAAGACGTTCCGCAAACCATTCGAGGCGTACGCCAAGGCACCCCATTATACTACAGCAAAACAACCAGAGACATACAGAGAGAGCCCGGTCAGGTCACGGGAGAACTCGTCAAACTCCTTCGTCAATGCCGGAGTGACTGGAGTCCACGATGGAATCGGAAGGGTCCCGTCCCCTCCAGAGGTCCATGGCTACGGCTCGAGAGCGCCATCTCCGGCGCCATCCTTCAATCCTCAGCAATCACAACATGGCCCTTATCGAGAGTCTCTGGAAGGTCGTGACTCACCGCCACCACCTTGCCCGCCTCCACATCGTCATGTAGGTGTTGGCAGGCATGGCTCGAACATGTCGCATGACAGTCGACTTCAAAATGGGGTTAGCAGACATGGCTCCCACGCCTCATACGACAATCGTGGAGTAGAATATCCGCGGCACGGCTCGTATGCATCGTACGACAGCCAAATGGGCGGGAACTTGAGTAGGCATGGATCTCATATGTCTTACGATCAACGGCCGCATACTCCACGAGTGCCTTCACCGTGCCCCCCGTCACCGGCCGGGGAAGGCTTGACACCGTCGCCGCTACGAGAAGCGATGGATGGCGTCATGGAACAGCTTGACATATTAGGCGTGTCTCGCGAGACAGAGTCTCCTGAACCTCCTCCGCCCCTGGATCCATGGTCCCCCGAGTCCTTTGATATGGTACATCAGCAATCTCGGCATAAGCCAAAAGGGCAAATGCGACCTCAGACATCCATGGGTGTGGCGCTGCATCAAGATGAGGGCTATGAGACGTACAGCGGTAGCGGCGAGTCTTCTCGAGATCCTACTTATCATGGCAACCACCCACAGGAAGCCCCATTACCACAGCTAAGCAATTACGTGGAGCGTATGGAGACAAGACTACGGAATATGCATCAGCATAACTCAGGCAGATTCGATGACGATGCAATGCCACCACCTCCTCCACCAAAGGGACACATGTTCGATCGACCTAAATCTTCTATGGATACACATGCGCAAGAGCCGGATCGCAAGTTGCGGCATAGGAAATCGGCTTACGATGTCGGACGACAGATGCTGGGGAGAACATACACGACCAAGACAAATTCCACTAGTGCTTCTTCTGGCAACCGCAGCACGACAACAAACGGGACCGCAATGACACAGAGTACAGATCGGAGTCTTATGAGCGGTTATTCCGCTTCAGGAATCAGTGCTACGAGCGCTGGAAGTTTGGCGAGGAAAAATATGAGTCGAGCTCAGAGTGCTATGGGTATGAGAGAACTCGACATCAACCGTCCAGAAACTCCTTTCACTGGAGTCACCTACCACAGCAGCCACGCCTCTGAGGCTTCTCGGTCAAAGTCTCAAGCTGGGTTCTACGAAGACCCGATTGGAGGCATAGGGGGCCTGGTTCAACCACAATCAACTAAGAAACGGAGCTTCTTCAAGAAGATCATAGACTCAGCAAAAACTGGCGTCGCCAGCGGTCGCAGTAGTATTGCGACTGGTGCCGTCGGCTCCGTGCAGTCATCGCCAGTTGTCCAGTCTATGCCGAAGCCAATGGCAGGGATTGCAGGTGGCTTCCCTAGCCCAATGACCCCTAACGGAAGCAATGCAGCGCGCGAGATGGGACTTGGAGCAGGCGTTGACTGGGTTCAGGTACGGCGAGACGTCAACCGATCAAACTCTTTGAGTCGAATTGAACGGAGCGAGCGCCGAGACCGTTGTCAGATGTTGGACTATCCAGCGATCGATCCCGTAGATGAACTCTATGGTAGTATCGATGGCGACGAAGGCGCAGATGGAATGCCGGTTCAAGAGCCGGTCAACTACCAGATGATTAATCTGAGTCAAGTAGATAAGAACTCTCGCTTCATTGGCAACCTACCGCCGATGACCACGGCCATTACACTTGCAACTACCTACGTTTGCCGACCATATCGGAGCGACGTCCAGCGGCTTCGGGCAATCTTCACCTGGGTTTCCGAAAAGGTGTGTTGGGAAGAGGATTTTGAGGGTGAAATAGATACCCGTCGCGTCATCTCAACCAAGCGAGGCTGTGCTGAGGAGTATGCCGTCCTGGTCTATGAGATGTGTGCAGCGGTTGGTCTGCCCTGCGAGGTTGTCCGCGGTTATCTCAAGACTCCCGGCGAAATCCCCGAGACAGGCATCATGCCACGATCCAACCATTGGTGGAACACCGTTCTCGTGGACAATGAGTGGCGTATGCTAGACTGTTGTTTGGCAAGTCCTTCTAATCCTCGCCGTGGTCTATACTCGAGCGGTGGTACAGGTGCTGCAGACCCGTGGTGGTTTCTCGCCCGCCCAACCGAGATTTGTTGGACACACATTCCTGAACACCATGCGCAGCAACATATCTGTCCACCAGTTGCCCACGAAATCCTTCTCAACCTGCCTTGTGCCTGCCCGCCCTACTTCAAGAGTGGTCTGGAGATGGCCGATTATAACACATCCCTCATCCGTATCGAGGATTTGGAGATGGCCCATATCAAGTTCAACGTCCCTGCTGATATTGAGGTCGCTGCAGAAGTCGAAGTTCGCGCTCTTAGTAGGGACATTGACGGCGACTTCTTCGAGAGCGGCGAGTTGCTGAAGAAGCGAGCTCTAGCTCAAGCGGAGTGGTTCAATGGTGTTAAGCGGTATACTGTCAAGGCGCTGCTGCCAGGAGACGAGGGGACTGGAATCTTGAAGGTGTATGCTGGAAGACGGGGGTTGATGCACAGCATCAAGGACATTCCGCACCCGCTGGCATTTGCAGTCCCCATAATCCATACAGGAGAGAATCCTCCCTACGAATTCGTCACTCGTCACCCGACTCCACACGCTCAGCGGCACGATATCTACGTGGTTCAGCCGCAGTGCCAGCGTCTCGCGCTCAACAATACATTCGTCTTTGCCATCCGGCAGCACCCAAGCTCGGTGGACTCGGGCTCTGCCATGACACCGTCGTCTAATCCAGGCGGTGCCAGTCCCATCCCCTTCGTCAGGCCAAGCTCTGCCATGAGCATGAGCAACAACTCGAATCCTAGTACGGCGAGCGGGAGCAATTACTCAGGAAGTGGCAGGAAGCCGGCGAAGCTCGCCATACAGACCCCGGGAGGGAAGATCCTCAGACTTATGAGGAAAGAGGAACGGCGGGGCATTGGCGTCGGCGGACGTGCTGCTCCAGGAGATGAGGAAGCCAGCGATGGCGGCACTTGGGAGACAATCATCAAATGCTCAGAGCGTGGTGTCTGGCGTGGCCTGGTGCTTGCGGACCGCACTGCAAGATGGTGTGTGTTTGCAGAGTGGGTGTGTGTGGGCTAAACGTCTGGGACTGCCCATCTCTGTCTACATGACGATGATTCATATCAGAGTGATGCTTTACAATTGTTTGAGTTTAATCTTGGGAAAAGCAAAATGGAGTTGCTGAGCAGAAGTTGCTGGTCATGTCGGGGACTAATATAGGGGTTGGTATTTGCATCTGTCAGGGGCGTTTTTGATCTGGCTTGGTCACCTCCGATTAGGATCATGATGAGATCGTGTCAGGTTAGGGTTATGTTTCTAGGTTCATGGCATTTGAAGGGTCAACAAGACCCTCGTGTATAAACATTCATGTCAACGTGATTTTTCGATTGTATTCTTATGCGACTAAAGTGGTAATCGTTCATTGTTCAGGACTTTTTAAGGTTGGACAGGGATGAAACGCATAAGTGGCATGCCACTGTGCAGACCCCAGTCTCACCCACCCACGGCAACAGCCGCACCCGCCTAAAGCTCCAATTGCTGTGCATTTGACGGACATGACAACCCAAGCTCTCAAACAAATCGAGACCCTTCAAGCTTGACAACATTGCATCCAAATCCCAAAAGACTTCGAGTTCAGTTAAGAGCAACCCGCAACGGCCGTCGATGATGCGGCGGAGCTTCGACAGACGGCTCGCTGCTCAATCGACCCCCCGACGCTGAAACAATGTCGTACCGCAACGAACGCACGTATCGCAACGGCAACGGCACCAGCAACGGCTACGGGAACTTCGGGCGCCAGCGAGGAGGAGAGGACGATTATGATCCCTTCGGTGAGGGCTACAGCAGCGATCGATATGGCACACCGCCGCCGCAAGCCCGCCCGCCTCCTCGCGCCGCCGCGCGCCGAGCAGCTGAGCAGCAGCAGCAGCTACCCACGCGCGAGCGCGGTTACGAGACGAATGCCGAGAAACAGATAGGCCAGGTCCTGGAGCACATCAAGAGCGAGTGGCCGGCAATGTGCCAGACGGACTGCGTGCCCGTGCAACTTGCTCTGCAGCTGCTGGACAGCAGTTCCGTCGGGCGCGCCCACGAGTACCGACAGTTCCAAAAGACGCACACGTACCTGCAGGACAGCCTCAAGGGCATCGTGCACGACTACCATCAGGGTTTCAACAGCTCTATCGGCACTTTTCACAAGATTCAGGGCAGCATCCAGGCGTCGCAGCGCAAGGTGCGCGCGCTCAAGGACGGGCTTGCCGCCAGTCGCACCAGCCTGTGCGCCACCGACCCGGAGCTCAAGAAACTGTACAATACAAGCCAGATGTACGATGATTTACTACAGACGCTGGGAGAGCTAGAGGAGTTGCGAGGCGTCCCTGACCAGCTCGAGGCACGTATCAGCGAGAAGCGGTTTCTTACTGCCGTCGAGGTCCTCCAGAACGCGCTGCGGAAGCTGAGGAAGCCGGAACTTGATAACATCGGGGCCTTGAGCGAACTTAGAAGCTACCTGGCGAACCAAGAGACGGCCTTGATGGATATTCTTGTGGAAGAGTTACATGAACATCTATACCTAAAGTCACCATATTGTCAGGAGAGATGGCAGAACCTATCCAAACACCAAGGCGCATTTAACGATGCCTATAGCGACAACTCAGCACTAGTGCCTTTCTTTACGGTGCTAGACTCGATGGATTTCGAAAACCCAGTACAAGAGGACCCAGCTCGGAACCCCGAGTCCGACACATTCTACTATATCTCGCTTCTGGTTGAGTCTTTGAATAAGCTAGGCCGTCTGGAGACAGCTGTAGACACTCTTAAACAGCGACTTCCGGTAGAGCTGTTCGGCATCGTGAATGAGACGATCAATGAGATTGACCAGAAACACCCTAGCTCTTTGAGAGGAGTGTCATCGGGTACTCATGGGCTGCACATCTATGGTAGCAGGGAGACACAGATGAGGGCCGATGTCATCTATGATCTATTATGGACTTTGTACGGCAAATTTGAGGCTATCGCCGAAGGCCACAGACTCTTTCACGAATACATCAAGGCACTTATTCGCCGAGAGGGAGCAGGCAACAACAGCGCACTGCTTGGTAGCTTCAAGGAGTTGTGGAACCTGTACCAGAACGAGATTCGTTCTCTCCTACACAATTATGTGACGACAGATGCAGATGTGTATCAATTCAACTCACCTAGGCCCGGAGGCGGCATCAATGGGAAGATGGATGTCTCCAGAGACCATCTTTTCCGTTTCTCTGAGGCGGACTCCAAGTCTGTGGAAATGGTCACGGAATATGAAGCACTTGATGGTATCATACGAGCGGCTGTGCCCGGCCTTACAGCTAATCAGCGCAAGGGACAAGGCACGGATAAGAAAGCTTCGTTGATTGGCAAAGACCCAATAGGCTCTAGGAAAAGCATGGGCCCCAGCTTCGACAATCGTAATCAAAAAGATGGGACATACAAGTCGCTTGTCGAGCCGAGCGTTTTTAACATGAGCTTGCTCCTGCCTCCAACCCTTGTCTTCCTCCAAAGGTTGAAGAGCATCGTTCCTCCTGGCTCGGACTTGGCCACGAGCACGCTGACATCATTCCTGGATAACTTCCTGGTCAATGTCTTCCAGCCACAATTGGATGAGACCCTTGGCAAGCTAAGCGATACTGTATTTGGCGAAGCAGACGCTTTCCAGCAAGATTCAGACTGGGTACACGTTGCGCGGAAGCCGATTTTTAAGGGGACAACATCCTTCTTTGCTGTTGTTGCAGCTTTCTGCCGGATGCTGGGAACCATTCCTCACGACCAGGCCCTTAGTGCCCTCATTATCACACAAATGATGAGGTACTACGATAGGTGTTTTGGATGGTACAAAACCCTGGTTACCAAGACGCAGGAGAATGCATCAGAACCTCAATCCTTGAGAGCTTCAGCCGTAATGGCAAGCGATTCTAGTGAGATCAACGAGACGATGAAGAAGCTCTGGTCATCAGAGAATCTGGATCTGAATCTGCTAGAGAAGGAAGTCGCGCTTTTGATTACGCAGACCAACGAGAAAGCTCTGGAGATGAGCGACATCATTTCAGATCGTGACACCATCTCATCTTTGTGCCTCTTATATACTAGCATGAAGTGGCTAGCAGTTAAGGTTCAAGGATTGCGGCACATTACAAGGCAAGATGCGGACTCCTCGCGATCAAGCCTCCCGAAACCGGAAAAGCGACGATGGACTCTTCTCAATGATCCAAATAAGGCTACGGCGGAGGATGGACCCGTGTACCTCCCGATGACGCAGGAAACAGTCCAGTAAGTAATCGATACTAGTGGACCAATGTATGAATTGCCTAACTCTCAGCAGGTCATTCGACGGCATTGTATCCTCTTATGAAGAGCTTGCCGCAACTGCACTCCTCACTCTACACATGGAAGCCCGGTGCCGCATTGTGTACTCACTGCACGTTGTCTTGTCTCCGCTGACCGCGCCGTATATTCTCGAGCAGGATGTCAACGAACCTGATCCACAAGTCTTGTCATTGAACTCAGAGCTGGTGTCATACGATGAGACAGTCGTGCGTTTCCTCCGCGAGCGCGAAGCTTCATTCATTCGCACCGGTTTCGGCCTGCTCATCAACTCATATCTGGTCAGCAACGCGCCGATGACGAGCCCAATGAATGCCAAGGGCTGCGGCCGCATGCAGCTCAACATTCTTGTGCTGCAGCAAAACCTCAAGAACATCGAGGCGGGTGTGGACCTCGCGCGCGCCGCGAACTACTTCGCACTATTTGATAAAGGACCTGACGCTATTGTTGCCAAGGCCAAGGAGGACAGTGGGAAGGAGGGAGGTTCGGATCCGGACCGCTTCACGTACGACGAGCTCAAGGCCCTTGTCGAGCTGTGTTATAGCGAACAGCTAGCAGATCCGGAGAGGGGAATTGCAGCTCAGGCAAAGAGGCAGATGGCGGATAAGATGCTACAACTATCGGAGCATATGTGGCAGAGTTAAAGTGGTCATTAGAAGGGTTCGAGCATTTTTGTAGCAAACCTCTATATAGTTGGTGGTTGTATGGCTTCGGGATCTTTTGGGAGTTAGGGCCTACCGCATCAGATACTCTGTAGATACTAGCAGGCTATAAAGAATTCAGTCCCACTTTGGTGTCTTTCTTATATGTTGAAGTCCGACAGCTCTGGTACCTGGTTCTCAGTGTAGCCAGCTGGCGCCAGCTGGCCACACACTCACGCGTTATACAGTGTGATCCGTGCGCCAGCCATGTCGCTCAGGGAATTTTTCGAGAGCGCTTCATGACGCTTCAACGTTGAAGCAACCACACGAATTGAGGGCCATCCGCACAGGTCAAGATGGTTAATCTACGGGAGTTGGTTCGGCCTGTTCGGCAAGTCTCATTGACCCAATTATCACGGCAGTCGACGGCGCAATGTCTACGAAGATGTGCTTCAACTCAAGCAGCTGAAGCTGGAAGGGCTCAGGTCCCAGATCTGCTTGAGCTTGAACAGGAGTCATCACTAGGAGCTCCCCCTCCGACCGAAGAACAGAAAAAGGCGTTCGAGTCACACGATGGATCTGCGAGAAAATTCCAGCTTCCCAGCGCTAGGTTAGTTGATCAAATGATCATCCGAGGAACTCGTCGACTAACAGGGAGCGTGAAGATATCAATACCATCCACCCGTATTCCAACGAGGTCCTCTCCACCCCGTCCAGTCCCCGGCCTCGTCCGATCCCGTCGCTCGCGACTTCGTCCCGGGTCCATTCAACTCACCCCGTCTAAAGCAGACATACCAATCGACGGTAGCCGCCGACTTGATGACGCTGACCTACGATCACAAACCCCCTGGCACGGAGCGGCAGGTAATCGGGCAAAGACTGCGGGAATGGGACGAGAGCTCCCCGTATCACAAGGGACGTCCGCTGCGGTCGCCACGCGGCAATCCGACTTTGACGCTCGTCGAGCGCGACATTAACTTCCGCAACATCCCCGAGGTGCGCGCTGTAACGTTATCGTCGTATGTGCCCGCGGCACTCAAGAACGAGGACTTTCTGCTGGTGGCCCGCGCGGCGATGCAGGCCATCACGGGGTCGGTGCCTGAAACGGTCAAGACGAGAAAGAGCGTTGCGCAGTGGGGAATTGCCGAAGGCAAGAAGTCTGGCGTCAAGACGACCATCTACGGAAATGCAGCGTATGAGTTTCTTGACAAATGTGTCCATCTGGTTTTCCCGAGGATCAAGGACTGGCCGGGTCTTAAGGGTAAGATTGCATCTCTGGTTATAACAATGAGGGTCATGACCACTAACACACCTACAGGAAGCACGGGTGACAGCTCGGGAAATTTGTCTTTCGGCTTGACACACGAGAATATGGCCTTGTTCCCAGAGATCGAGGTCAACTATGATGTGAGTATTATGAAGTTATTAGTATCAGATGAGCAAGCGGTTCTAACGGTGAACATTAGATTTATCCTCCTAAGATGCTTCCAGGTTGCCGTGTTTTTGTGGAAACAACAGCCAACTCAGACAGACAAGCCCGCTTATTGTTCCAGGCACTGGGCTTCCCATTTTACGGACGTTTGAGAAATTAAATACCCCTTACGCTGTACAGGAGTTGTAAATGCAGCAGGAGACTGCTCTAGGTGGCGGTCACGGTCACGCACTGTAATATACTTGTATTGTACAATGTACAATGTCACATAGGATAGAAAGATACCTCAATCATAACGGCCTTTGGCCTATTCATTCATGTGGCGGACTACACATGACCGCTCGAAATCTATCGTCCTGTCCGAGATGTTACCACCAAAAACGCCTTCCCGTTTGCCACCAACGCCGTATTGATGCAAAGTGCTTCGTTTCCTGACGTTCATAACTTTTTATGCCGTCCCATTGGGCTGTCCTTTCAAACCATCCATGACTGCCGTGACAGCGTCCATATTTGTGGCATCGACCTTCGTAGCTGGCCGGCCCTGCTTCGCCAGCTCCTCTGTGCAGACGTCCATGGCTGGCTGGTAATTCCTCACAGCCGAGCTCAAGGCATAGATGGCCTTCCGCCGTACCTCGTTGTTCTCGTCGGCCTTGGTAGCCACGCCTATGAGGCGCGGGATGCCGCCGAGGGCGAATAGGCGCTCCTGGCTGGGGCTGTTGTTCTGGACGGCGGTGCCGACGCACCAGGCGGCGTACTTGCGCAGCTCGGCCTCGTCGTGCTCGAGCATGGACAGCAGGGGCGACCACAGCGACAGGTTGGCCATGTTGTTGGCGTTGTCGAGCGACTCGATCAGCTGCTCGAAGTTGTCAAAGGCCGTCAGCTTGTCGTCGAGCGACACGGAGGGGTCCGTGTTGGTGATGACCGACATGGCGGCCTGCATCAGCTCCGCGTCCGAGGGTCCGCCCATCAGTGCCGCGAGCGCCTCCGTGCTGAGGCCGCGGCTGGTGGGCGGCGCGGCCGAGGGGTCGTTCCCTGTCGTGCTGGTGTTCTCGATGCTCCATTTGAGCAGCTCATTTAGGTTCCGATCCATATTGGCTTGTTTTGGTATCGTGGAATTGTGATTGGATATTTTATGTGTTTGGAAGGCGAGTATAAATCGAGTATCAAGATATCACTGTGGAAATTTTGGAAATTTTGATATCGTGAAACGTCTTTCTCATATTGCTTTTAAGAAACCGGCTACCTCGAAAAAAAAGTGTCATAGGCAGATCGTCAAGCTGAAGATTCGTTACCTTTTTCAGGAAGGCTCGAGAAAATTCCACGCCAGAATAGGCTTAGCGCCTAGAAGGGTGCAGCTCATTGCTGGTCGGCCGGGATGTGCCGCTTACCTTAATAAGCCGTCAAAGGGTCCGGGTACAGCATCTCGCATTTGCTGAGCATAGTTCATTTCGAACTGTGTGATTGATGATGCTTTAACCTTTCATTTCACCTGCGAGAATCGATGACATGTATAGGGTCTCTTTCCTCTAACATGAGCTGAAGATATGACAGAGGCTCTGGACCCCGCCGTCAGTACCCCACCATGGCTGTGCCCCTCGTCGCCGCCCTAAGGGAACAAGCATAAGATGAAAAGGTAGGTGCTTAAAAGTTATCGTCCTCCCTGGTTCAGATGACAGCGGCACCTAAGCAGGGGACGCGGTCTTGATCTTGATATTTCAGTATGAGATAACGTACTTACAATTTGCCAATGGGCCATTTCCTACAAAACAAAAAGCCAGATCTCGGTGGTAAAGTGACGGATCTGTAGCAAAGATCTATTAAGCCAAGCCACCGAGCAGACGCATATCTTTACGTGGCTGGCCGCACCGTTAAGTCTACTTCCTAACGGCGAAATCAGCCTCAACATACATGGCGTACTCACTCCAGCCGGCGGAATGGAGGCTGGGTATAGGGTAGGCAATTCTGACAGTAGCGGGCTCTCTATGCAAATAGGGACTGTGTTACTAGTAGTACCTGTCCGGGGGGCGAAAGGCGGCTTATTGCGGGTCGATGCATACGCAATCCGCGCGCCTAGGAGACAAAGCTTGACCACCTCAAAAAGATGGTGCCTGCTTGGCCATCCTGTGGACGACTGTTGGTGTCTGAAAAGCAGTACGTCAGCCTCGCAACCCTGCCTGTAGGTAGGTAGGATATCAACCTGATGCAGCTTGAACGGCAGCTTATCGCGGGCGTATTGAACGAACTGTGTCATGCAGGAAACTCGGACTGTGCGGCCACCTGCAGCTGAGACTAGCCCGCAGACTGCGAGTATCGTGAGCGGTCCGAAAGCGAGGTAGAGACACCGTACTAGCCGCTGGCGCATACGGTCTAGTAGAGATAAGAATGTTAATACCTGTTTCATCATGCTGTATCGCTGCAGGCTGCTTCTTAGTATGAGCCTTGTGATACCGAGCGATCCCATCTGTGACCGGGACGTTTGATGACCGGCCGCGAAAAGGGCATGGAGGCATGGTACTGCCGCAGCTTCGAATGCCAGAGTCGAAGGAGGGGATCCAACAACTGCCCCGGAACCCGACTGCCTAACCCCTACTCCCATCTTGCGCAGACTGAGGGCCTTGAATCATCGCCAGCCATCTGATTTTCTTTTCGTTGAGGAACGTAGTTCCAGGGGATTTGAGGCGATTGCGCGTGAGAGCAGTGGCGGACCAGCCTCTTGGAATACGCGTTAAAGCGGCGCGGTAATCCGCGGTTTCTGCCAGTATCGGCCGTCTCGCCGCACCAGAAAAGCCACCATCAAGTTTGGGGCCAAGCCAAGCAAAGCCCACTCTAGCGCCGCCCACAAGTTTGCCCGTCGGTTTGGTTGTGCTGTGCTGTGCTGTGATGTGACATACGTCGTCCTCCTCCTTTGCGGTGTGTGTAGAGTAGACTAAGTAGGTATAGCCAGGTAGATAGGTCTCGTAGAGTGTGTGCCCGCATCAACCTTCCTCCTCCTCCACCCTGGTCTTTCCTGCTTGGTATTGGCTGGTTAGTGGGGAACCTGCTCCAGTGGTGGTGCTGCTGCTGCTTGCTAGTTTACTGCTGCTACTTCCTTCCCCCTGCGCACCCTCGCCCGCCCACATCTGCCTCTCACCTCAACCACCAACGTAACCTAAACCAAACCAAACCAAACCCCAAGGACCACCACCACCACCACCACCATCATCTCTCAAGTAAATTCCACCTCCCCTTTCCTTATCTCCCGCATCCCCAAATCTCCCGTCGTCTTCGACTTCATCCTTTTCGCAGTCTTCGCTTCGTCGATCTGGGCATCGCGCGAGCTCCGTTTCAGCTTCTTTAAGATCTCATTTTTGACATTATCTTGACAGGCCCTTTTCTCTCAGCACCCGCCTAATCCGTCACCATGGAGGGTAAGCCGTCCCACTCCGAGCTCCTTTCCATCCAGCAGATGCCTTCTCGCATCGTTCGCCATCAAAGAAACAGTCGCTGACATCGATTGCGCTTGCAGAAGAAGTTGCTGCCCTCGTTATCGACAATGGGTAAGCTCCCCCGCTCTGTCTCACCGACATCTTCGATCGTCGACTCCTCGAGACGGTCAAATCCCCTTTTTTGCCTTTCTCACCCCGACGCCATCAGAGGCGGTCATTCAATTCGTTTCCATGTATCTAACTCGATGATAGTTCGGGTATGTGCAAGGCCGGTTTCGCCGGTGATGATGCTCCCCGAGCCGTTTTCCGTAAGTGGCCCCGCATATGCATACAATCGCCCGAGAACTTCTCCAGAGGAAGTCTCGTGGGCTTAGAAACCGCCACAACTAATCCCTCAAACAGCCTCCATTGTCGGTCGCCCCCGTCATCATGGGTAAGATCCTTGTCCCGCCTTATCGCTTGAGCTTTCGCTGATGAACGCTTTAGTATCATGATTGGTATGGGCCAGAAGGACTCCTATGTCGGTGATGAGGCGCAGTCCAAGCGTGGTATCCTGACGCTCCGATACCCCATCGAGCACGGTGTCGTCACCAACTGGGATGATATGGAGAAGATCTGGCATCACACCTTCTACAACGAGCTGCGTGTTGCTCCCGAGGAGCACCCTGTTCTGCTGACCGAGGCCCCCATCAACCCCAAGTCCAACCGTGAGAAGATGACCCAGATTGTCTTCGAGACATTCAACGCCCCTGCCTTCTACGTCTCCATCCAGGCTGTCCTGTCCCTGTACGCCTCCGGTCGTACCACCGGTATCGTGCTCGACTCTGGTGATGGTGTCACCCACGTTGTCCCCATCTACGAGGGTTTCGCCCTTCCTCACGCCATTGCCCGTGTCGATATGGCTGGTCGTGACTTGACCGACTACTTGATGAAGATCCTGGCTGAGCGTGGCTACACCTTCTCCACCACTGCCGAGCGAGAAATCGTCCGTGACATCAAGGAGAAGCTCTGCTACGTCGCCCTCGACTTCGAGCAGGAGATCCAGACCGCCGCTCAGAGCTCCAGCTTGGAGAAGTCCTATGAGCTTCCTGACGGTCAGGTCATCACCATCGGCAACGAGCGTTTCCGTGCCCCCGAGGCCCTGTTCCAGCCCTCTGTCCTGGGTCTTGAGAGCGGCGGTATCCACGTCACCACCTTCAACTCCATCATGAAGTGCGATGTCGATGTCCGAAAGGATCTGTACGGCAACATTGTCATGGTAAGTTACACTGGAGGATTCGTGGCTGGCAGCTTGCTAATGATTTTGCTAGTCTGGTGGTACTACCATGTACCCTGGTCTCTCCGACCGTATGCAGAAGGAGATCACTGCTCTTGCTCCCTCATCCATGAAGGTCAAGATCATTGCTCCTCCCGAGCGAAAGTACTCCGTCTGGATCGGTGGTTCTATTCTGGCCTCCCTCTCCACCTTCCAGCAGATGTGGATCTCCAAGCAGGAGTACGACGAGAGCGGTCCTTCGATCGTTCACCGCAAGTGCTTCTAAAGTAAGGCAAAGCTCTCTGCGGATGTGTCGTAACATTTAATTAACAGTCGGAACAGCTCTCCCCAGCGACAATCCCCTGCCTCACGGCTATCACGAGCTCACGCCAGTTCTGAGGAGATCAGCCAAGATGCAGAGCCTCTCGCGTTGCGCATGTATCACACACGAGTCTCATATTTACGAAAAGTTTTGGTCACGGTTGAGAGTTGGGCGGCGTCCTTTCTTCTCCGAAGGGGAAATATGATGGCCTTTGTCTTCTTGTAGGTGCGCGCAGGGGGGGTGGACAAGTACAATTGAGGTTGATCATCCAAGTTCACTTTTTGTTTTCACCGTCTAAATCATGAGGATGAGTAGCCTTTTTCGTAGTGGTTGCTACGTGAGAGTTGTCTAGAGTCAAGTCAGTTAAACGGAGAGGTTACCATCTGCATTATATATGTGACTACTGTGACTCGTTGCGTTTGTCGCAATCATTGTCGATTGGCCAGGTATTAAAGCTACTTCTTCAAGCCAGCCTTGTGCTCTGTGCCGACTCCGTGCTCTATGTCACCTTCAGGGGTCTCTAGCAGTTCCTCTGCTTGGACTCCTCCTTCAGGTCCATCTTCGTCGCCGTCCTCTCCAAGCTGACGATGCTTTCGTCTGCTCTTCTTAGTCGCGCTAGCCTTTCTCCTCGACTTGATGCGGGCAATAACGGCAGACCGACTGTTCTCGCCATTCTGCAAGTCATCGAGCTTGTCGGCCAGATGTTGCCTGGCAAGTTTGCGGTTCTGATCGCGGGATCTCGTTTCCTGGCACTTGACGACAATACCCGTGGGAATGTGCTTTAGCTGGACGGCCGAATTGGTCTTATTCTGTGATTTACTGATGTCAGAACATGCTCGAGAAGAGAAGGATCATTTGGCTAGGTGCATACAATCTTCTGACCTCCCGGACCGCTGCCTTTAAGAAAGGACTCATGGATTTCCGAGTCCGGGGGAGGCTTTGGCCGGGGCGGGTACTGAACCTTCCGCGCTACTGCGGTGCCGGTGAATGGTGCAACACCGGGGAGCGCGACTGCGACGATGGGCCGGCGGAGAAGGCTATGAGCGCTTCGTGATGCTATACCCAGTGTCCGCAGCATAGCTCAGTAACCATCGCCATACTTTCTGGGCGGAACAGCGAAAGTTGGTCAATCTTGACTAGGATTAGGTCCTTTGTCCAAGTGGGAAGATGTCGCGACTCGCCTAATCGATAAATGGGCGGTCATCCTGGCGCGGCACGGCAGTGGGGATTGACCAATGGGAAGTAGCGGAAGACTTGATTTACAGGGGCCGTCCTTAATTTCCATCTTCAACATCAACTCCTTTCCAACGCCACTTCTTCGACTTCAAACAACAGCATCGCTACACTTGCGTCTTAAAATCAAGAGAATCGCAACCTGGCACTATACAGCGTGCCACGTATTCTGTGTCTAGCGTCCTTCTGAAGTGCCTCTACACACCGCTTCACTACTCACTATCGCGCCGTATCAGGATGGCTTCTACTTCGCCCTTTGAGAGGTTCAGCAAATGGCTGAAGCTCAAGATCTACCAGACCGAACTCAACTTCTCAGTGTACATGTACACACCGTGGGAGAAATTCGTATTCTGTATGTTGAGATCCTAGTACCGGTGGCCCGACACAGACATAACCACCACAGTGTCCCGGTCTTCAACACTAACAAATCATCTCCAGGGTCAATCACTTTCCTCCTCTTCAGCCTGACGACGATTGCGGCGATCCTCTACCTTCCGCAACACATTATCTTCATTGTCACACGCGCGTGGTTCTACATCAACGGGGAGAATGTCGACGTTGTCGAGGTCGCCAAAGAGGCGGTCGAGACGCTCGTCCACCACCATGGAAGCGTGAGCTCGTCAACAGCCGTTGCTGCGGCGAAGGAGACTGTGGCGGGCGTTCTGCGAGAGCTATGAGGTGGGCCTAGATCAATGTTTGTGTTTAGGTAGCAGAGCACCAAGGGCATCTATGGATGAACCTCTGTGAGAGCAAGACGTATGGGAGCAATGCCTCTGAGGATGATGGTATATGTCACTTAATATGCATGGCGGAGTCTCTCGACTGGGTTTGACACTGGCGTTGTAAGGATAATGCAGCACCTGGATAGGTTGCGCAGATAGAATGCCTCCGAGAGGGTACTTAGTAATTCTAATTGTAGCTCGCATCGAGCTTTCAGAAACGTCTGGTCTTTTGCGACCGTAGCCCGTTGAATTTGGACTATCTATAGCCCCTTGATCTGGTATATCCTGAGCGAGCCATCTTCTCCAGCTATAGCTAAGGCGCTCTCTCCGTAATCGCCATCGGTGGTTACTGGCCTCCAGGCCAGTTGCAAAACGGCTTTCGGGAGGGCGAGTCTTTTTACATTAAACGTCAGAAAAGCTAGTCGAAGCTTTGGGGTGAGGGTACTTACTCGGTTTTGATGGAGACTGTTGCTTCTAGGGACAAATCAGTCTGCTTCAGTATGCAGATTGAGATCTTTCCGGCTTCGGTTCCTAGAGCAAGTACCAACTTGTCTGTCTTGGTACTCTGTTGTAGGAAGTCTACTGCCGTAACTGGGTGTTGCTCTTTGATTGTGGTTGCCAGAGAAAACTTCGATCCCTCTTGGCCGTCTTTTCTCGCCCATATCTTCACCTGCTTGTCTCGACCGGCAGTTGCAAACGCCCTCTGTTCTTCGCCTGGAGCCCAGGCAGCATCGAGAATCATTCTCGAGTGGCCCTTGGGATCCGCCTGTGCTAAGTCGTACTTTTTCGCATCTCCGGCATCTCTCTCGAATACAACCCACTGTCGATCTCGGCCAACACTAAGCAAGTACTGGTCGTCAGAAGAGAAGCGAAGCCGTGTGGTGGTTAGGGAATGGGCCGTCAGGGGTGGTCTGATCTCCGTCCATCGCTCGGTTTCGAAGAGTCGGATAACGGCGTGATTGATTGAGCTGGCTTTGCATGCACTAGCAATCAACTTACCATCATGGCTGACTGCTAGACACGATATCTCGTAGCCATGGCCGTATAACTTCTCAATTTCAGGCCATAGCGTGTCTCGTGAAAGGCTGTCCTCGAAGGGAGGGTGATCCATATCAAGGGCTGACTTGCGGACAACCGTGGCCGGGTCAACTGCATTGTGGTCCTTCTCAGGGTTCACGGGTGCCATGTCTTGGTCATCGTCGACGGCGTCAACGGCCTTGTTTGAAAGACCTAGAACGGGCATGTTGGCAGCGTCAGGCATAGCTTCAATCTGAGTCTGAGCATCGCTCCCAATCCCACCTAAGCGGTTGAGCAAGTTAGCCACGGTCTTAGGCTCGCCGAACACACGCATGAGTTTCTCATCTGCGCCGGACACGAACTGTGACGCCCCGAGTGAGTCTATACAGTTCAGGTCATAGCCGTGGATCTGCGGCCGAGACATCTCATGCCACGTTGACGTGGCTTTCCACTGTGCGTGCAACCTCGTGGTTTGGTCGGAGCTCGTCGAGAGGAGATAGTCTCCATTCCTCGACCATGACACACCAGTAACTGCCCTGACATGTCCTGTGACTCCCAATCCTTGGACCCATCGACCTTCTGCTGTGTCGTAATCCCATCGCCTCCAGCTTCCTGTCCGTCCTAGTGTGACAAGACTTGTTCCGTTTGGCGACCATAGACCCGTCCAAAAGCCGCCTATGCTACCCGTGGCAGTCGTTGCACCCTTCTCTCTGCTGATTTCACCTAGTCTTGCGCTTGTTATCCAGATCCCTGACGTTGGTTCGGCTTCCCATATTGCAAGGGAGTTGTCTGCGGACGTAGACATGAGCTGAAGCTTGCCTTCTGCGCCAAAATGCCATTTAGCGCTGTAGATCCAGTCTTCGTGGCCAAAGAGGAGCGCCTCAAATGTAATAGAGTAATGTACCTCGCCCACCTTCATGCGGTATGCTTTATTTGAGGGTGATTTTCCGGGTAAGTATGCGCCCAAGGATGGGTCCGAGGCAGTCGCTGCTTGTGCAGGCAACTCAGTCCCTCTATGTATCCTCCATAATCTGACGTACTTGTCCTGGCTGGCTGAGGCCAGCAGAAGATCGCTATCTGGACTGTGCTTCTCTCGGGTGAAGTCAAGTGAGCGTATCCATGCCTCGTGACCGGAAAGCGTTGCTTGAAGCTTGAACTCGATCTTCTCATCCCGAGCCGGGGCGGTGAAGATTTGAACGATGTCTTTTGTGCCACCAGATGCTAACATGTAGCCCTCTCCTTCGCCGAGGAGGCACAGTGCTAGGGTGAGAGGGAAATACTTTGGCGTGGTTATAATTGACTGAAGCAAGCGCATTGCCTCGCCGTCGAATGACCACACCTTGATGCTCGCATCCGCCGCCCCTGAGGCAACCAAACATCTACCATTCTCCAGCCCTAATACTGCTATGCAGTTGATTGGTGCGGCGTGCTCTTGTACCGTCTGGACACAAGTTGCGGTATCAGCCTGCGGACTCAGCATCCACAGCTTAAGGCACTGATCATCGCCGCCAGTGACCAGAAATGATGACTCGTCATCTTGCTGTCTGGGTATAAACTTCACAGCCTTGACGACATTTTGATGTCCGCTGAGTAGTCCTATGATACCCTTTGGAGTAGAGTTCTAAAACACAGGTCAGCACCCACGGCCGAGACTGGAATGTATATTGCAAAGATTCGATAGTTCTTACATCAGGTCGCCAAAGGGCAATGTTGGTGTCGGCACCGAAAGCGACCACCCCGTCAGTGCTCCAGTCAGCCACAGCCGTCTGCCGGTTGGCACCGATGGAAAGGTATTCAGTTTCTACCTTGGCATCTTCCATGTTATGGTCACCTGCCGGAAAGGTGCATTCTTGCGCTGTTAATTTAATGGAGTTATTCCAACCTTCAAGTCTTATTGATCGATGAGCAACTCGATTTTAGGTGATTTCTGATTGGTCAAAAGGTTCCAAAGTGGAAGTTTTCTCGAAGTCGAGATTCTGCCTAAGAATTTTCCACCTGCCGCTACACGTGATGACCTCGCACTGTACGGGCATCTTAGTCTTGTTCCGTGTCTAATTGTTTCTAAATTCGACGTCCACCAGCCTCTAGTCGCCTGTTACTGCATTTCGTTACTCTTCGAAGGCAAGACTGTTGACCTCTGAGAAAAGCTTAACTTTGGGCAGCATATAACTTCTCAAGATGGCAACGAACAATGACAATGGGCAGGTGCCTCTAGATACACCAAAATTGCCCATTGTGGTCGAGTTCTCGTGAGTCTCCCCACCACCATATGGTGTCTCCTCCCCTCACCCGCTCCCTCTTATTTTCACGAGTGAAGAGTACGTCTCTCCCAAAGAACTCGAAATAGTGCTAACTTTCTCTAACTAAGGGGTGGGCTTGAGATGCTTTTCTCTGATAAGCGAAAACACTCAATCGGAATACCGGCAACCAAAGCAGATGGCACGCCGGTGGATATCGCCTATCTGATCGACTATCTTTGCCAATATACCATTACGGATAAGAGAAAAGAGCTTTTCGTTCTTGATAAGCATCTGTAAGTGTTATCTTGTGGAAAGCATTATCACAGCCCACCACAGCGACTCTAATAATTACACTCCCTCGGAGATATATTGTTGCATGCGAGGCTAACACCTGTCGTCCAGACGTCCTGGTATCCTTGTCCTTATCAACGATGCGGACTGGGAACTTGAGGGCGAGGAGTCGTACGAGATCCAGAGCGGTGACAACATACTCTTTGTCTCAACACTACATGGGGGCTAGCTTATCAGCTAGGTCCTTGCGTTACCCTACCCTAACCATTCAACGGCTTTGCAGCCTCCTCTTCCTCGGGTTCTTTCAGCAGAGCGAAAGTCACTCGTATAGCTAGGCAGGGCGATGTTGATGCTTCGTCCTCAGCGTGACAAGCATCGTGCATCCCGCGGAGCACGGCATGCGCTTTCCAAGTTTCCTACCTTTCTAAGATCCCATGATTACGATGTCCGGAAGTCTCTGAGACCGCCACATGGCGCGGTACGTATCTTTGGCATCAACGGCAAGCATTGACTTCCCCATTACAACTTCACCCACATGTCATAAACCGGTGTGTCTGTACGTGTGAGCGTGTGTGCGCCTTGGCCTGCCTGAGTCGTGGCGGGATGCGCTGGCCAGCTTGTCAGGCATGCGGGCTTACCCCATATTATCCGCATGGTCTTTATCTTGGTCATTCTTTCTCTAGCATCTGTGTGTCAGCCCGGGGATCCTTGCCGTCAACTCAACAGTCCATCTGGAGATGGGCGATCCGACCAGGTGGCCTGCATGTTCTGGCGAGTCTGGTTAGCACTCCACGCAACGCAGTGCAGTGCAGCGCATCGATGGGCTGGCCTTTTGTCCGATGCGAGCTGCATCTAGCGGTGGAAGGGCAATACTTTGCAGTACAGCACGGCGGTGAAAACGTGCAGGAGACCTTGAAAGGATGTGCCCGTCGTCATCTGGTCGATCAATACAAAAGTACCCAGGCCTAACGTGGGGCGGTGAGCGAGGGTAAAGGGGGGGTACGGTACGGTCCTGCAGCTTCACAGCTGCGATTCCAACCCAGCGAGCATGGTTGCATGCGGCATCTCGTCCCCGTTGTGTGTGGCCGCGAACAAGAGGTCTGTGGCCAGGCAAGGCTCTTGGGCGGCCCCTGCCGACGCCCACGTGAGGCAATCGCTGCAATTGGCTGGCCATCTCGAGCGAATTGAGCGCAGGCAGGCGATGAGCGCTGTGGCCAGTGGGAGAAGTAGTGCGGGATTTCTCGATACGTACCTTCAGGGGGGTGGGCAAACGCAAAAAGCTTTGTACAGATCCTTGGCATTATCAAAAAATGTACCCCCAACTTCCCCCCATGTGCGTGTCGCTGCTCGCTGCTCTCGAGTTCACGTCTCCCAATGCCTCCATCCCTCCTCCAAAGTGCGGCTAGGTGGCACATAGTCGCCGCGCACACCGAGTGCTAATCTGCTCGGGTACGCCTTTTGACCGGTTTCAGCCAGGGCCTGAAGTTTGGCCTCGCCTGGGCCTATGAGGTATTTCTGACAATATTCCCGGCCCCTACCCGCGCATCCCATCAAGTGACCTCCAGGGTTGCAAGCAGCTGCTTGATAAGGCTACTGGGCCTGTTTCAATGGCATCGCCTGCTGGGCCGCCGCGGCCTGCGTTTGGGCACAGCCGCGTATGGGGGAACGCGGTGCATGCCGACTTCCAATTTGGTCGAGCGGGTCAAGGGGGAAGCAGGTACAAGTCACGAAAATGGGATCTCGGCGTCCGCGAAGCATGGCAAGACAATGACGTTTGATTATCAAGGCCTAAGAGAGAGAGAGAAAATAACGCTGGGGAAAAGTAACTACTACCTAGCCAAATGGGAACCCTTTGGGGCGTCATCTAGAAATGCTGCCCGATCATGCTCGCTAAATCCCGTCCTTCAGATGCATTGTTCCAACTCCGGTGCGCAAGATGCTGTTCGAGGGACTAGTATCCCTGAAGAATGCAATCCAGTTCAATCCTCTGCCTCCCAGTATGTATTCATCACCCTGATGATGTCGCCCCAGTATGCTCCCCTGCGACTCCCGCGACTTCGCCTGCCTCCGGGCTCGCTCCATATCAAATCAAAACACTTTTTTTCTCCCTCAAGCAAGTACAACAGAACCGCCACCCTCTCTTGCGAATACAAGCCAGATAGGGAGGCACCGCCGAGACTAGGTCGAAACAGTAGTCCAGATTTGCCGCCCAAAGCTCTTCGCCTCTCCTTTTTGGTGTTGGTCCGCGCGTCCTCCCAAAGCGAACGTGAAAAGGGGGGATAAGTATATCTTATAAATCATAAAACGTAAAAAAAGACGTGATTAAGAAAGCCAAAACATGAAACAAGCAGTAGTGACCGGCGTGCTTTTGAAGGGCACTAGACAGCACAATACACAAAATTGTAAAGAGCTCTCAAAGATCGATGCCGTCCAGGCTTGATTGGTATATAACCTTTTTTTGGCAAATGAAACACATAGGGGGATATAGATATCGTGAGGAGTAAAGTAGGAGACGAGAAAAAGCACCACAACGGTAGAAGAGTGTTCAGACAGCCAATCCCAGAAAAACAATAGACCAGCCACCACCTGGTAGCAGTCCTTTCGCTTGGTCATGATACCATTCCAATAAATGCAGCGACACGTAACCGCCCCGGTCAGATCTAGTATCCGACACATGCAGTGAGTCCGTAGACGATACTGCTTAAAACTTTTCGATGTTGAAATCGACACGATTTCCACTCCCATGAATATTGTAGTCACCACCTTGCCCCTTTTTTCGTTAATCATATATCAGGCAAAATATCCAAAGGAAGTGGGTATCATCCCTGGAAGGATGACAGGGCGTGTCGTTTCCCTTGCCGTCCACCAGTTATTCATCAGCTCTATAAGTCGTTGATTCAAAAATAAAAATAAAAAAGTCGCTCATTCCCCTTTCTGGATAGCAGGAGGTTATAAACAATGTAGAAGACCATGTCTTCTGCTCAGTCGTCGTATTCTGTTGTTCTGTTTGTCATATCTGACCATTAGTACATCCGGTCGTTGAAGCCAAGATCCGGACGGCCATGGTCTTCATCGTACATCGTTCCACTCATGGTCGAAGCGGTGCCACTGCCGTTGATGCTGTCTGTATCATCATACATCTCGTAGCCGTGAGCATCACGGTGTGCAGGCAAACCATCGGGCCCAACCATGATGTTGAGTCCTGGGGCTCCTCGGCTCATGCTGTAAGCAGCGGGGTGGCTCAGACCATGATGGTGCGTTGGAGGAGGCATTTGGGCGTGGTGGTGTTGCTGCACTGGATATTGGGGAGAAATCCCGCTGTTGGGGATAACGGGTGAAATTCGTGCAACAGGGCCGACGTTCCTGTTCTTGCCGCGACCCTTGATTCCCTTGTTGCTGTTCTTGTAGAGATCCGCAAAGTATTGCCAGAGTTCTTGATCGGCCTTGCTCAAATTCTCGGGATTTTCCATAGTAGCAAATTTAGCTGCAAGTTTCTTGACAGTGGACTCATGGAACTTGTTTTGGTGTTGCTGCCAAAGCATTAATCAAGAGTCCCTTTGAATTCGGTTGTAGTTGTACGAATAGTGGTCATGATAGACAAAGTCCAAAGCTTATCAAACTTACCTTGAGATTGCCTCGTTGAGTGAAACGCTTGTAGCAGTTGTCAAGAATGCAGCAGAATGGCTTCGTCTGCGAGTGTGTGTGGAGATGTGCCCTCACATTCCCTCGTTGTGCGAACTTTTTGCCACATTCAGGGCATGGGTATGGCTTGTGACCTGTATGACGATTCTCATGGGTCTATCCAAGGTCAGAAATCGTGTGTCAACAATAGAGCTCCGTGGTAGACTCCTTTACCTTCAAATTGCCATGTTGGGTGAACTTGGAGTTGCAGCCAGGATACTTGCATATCTAACCAGATCAGCGTGAGGCTAATTCAAAAGAAGGTCTACTTACATATGGCTTTTCACCAGTATGTGTACGCCAATGAATGTCAAGATGAGTCTTCTGGTCCGCGCTGTAACCGCAGTCGTCGAAGTCACACCGATAACGCTTTTGGCCCTGCTTTCCATCCTGCTGTAGTGGTGTTAGTTGATGATACAAAGCAGATGTGCAATAGTCGTACCTGGGACATCTCGTTGTCTGACTGAGGAGACGGGGTCCTCTCAGTTCTGGCATGATCATCTTGCTCTTTCTTGGCCTGGATCGCCTTCATAAGAATATCAATGTCAGTGGAGAAGGTCGCTTCGTTGGGGCTCTTGACGGAGACGTTGGCTTTGACGGTCTTAGGCGTCGTGATGGAGTTGTTGCGACTCTTGACTGCAGATATAGGCTCGCTCTTAAGAGATGGGCTTCGGCTCTGCTCATGAGTAGGACAGTCTCTGGGGTAGGCCAGACCGCGATCCAGCTCGGGAGCAGAAGGCATCACGCGAGGTGTTGGCCTGTCTGAGAACTGCTGTTTGAATGAAGGGGCAACAGCAGGTGAAGATGGTGCGTAATTCCCGTATCCAAACGCTGGCTGCGGGTCGTATGAAGGAGCAGCCATCGTTGTCATAGGGGCAGCACTATAGGCATTTCCCATCACATATTGAGGAGATCCCATGACAGGACGCTGAAGAGGACCAGAGTTCAGAGACCGAGAATCGTACTGCATCATCCCGGAGGTATCCATCAGAATATAGTCAGAGCTCGGATGGTGCTGTGACCAGCGGCCCCAGTTAGGGGTCGCTGGTGGTTGAGCAGTGAGAGCCAGGTTTGCGGTATTCGGCAGTCTTGCTCCGTGAGCAAGACTGTTCTCGTCTATAAGTCGTTGTGTCGTAGGAGTGCTGGCGGGAACGATTCCCGCGCCGAAGGTGTATTAACTTTGGTGTTTCGTGCTTCAACGACCTAGATGGTTTATGGTCCGCTGCACAAACAAGGAGAAAGGAGGAGGATGAGTGAGCAGTAATATAGTATAGTAAAGCAAAAGTCCGCCGGTATATAAAAGAAAAGGGAGGAGGTAAAGAAGAGTAGTGTTTGTTATGCAGTCAGGTTGGACATATATGTTTGGCTGTGTGTTCGACTAATAGACGAGTTGAAGAGCAGGTAGGACGAGATCTAGGACGGGATATGGGACGTATATCAATACTTGGAGCTGGCAGACAGGCGAGACGTGCGTTCAGGGTTCAAATCTAGTCTAGCTACATCCGCCAACTTGGGAAGCCATGCAGCTTGGGAGATCTTGTTCGTTCATGGGCTTTCGACGAGGGTGATAGCACTTCATCCACAATGGCTGCCGCAGTCTAGGGTAGGTAGGTAGGTACCTAGTGGCTCTTGGGCGTAGGTACATGCGGATACGGGCTTGTTTTCTCATCTCAACCCCCACCAGCCAACTTCCAGCTAACTCGCAAGACAAGACCGGGGGGTTCCTACCTGGCTGCTGGGCGGGAGGGGGGAGGGTATGTTAGGAGAGGGGTGTGTGGGACCCCCGGCGCCTCTCAGAGCTGAGCTTGTATGAGGCGAGGACGAGGGCTTCATTCAGGCTGGCCAGGGTAGGACGAGTGACATATCAGACAGCCCACCCGGCAAGCCCCTTTCAAGTTATGACGAGCAGACCAGATGAGACACGGAGAAGAGGGGGGAATAGTATCCTATGCAGCAGGTTGGCAGGTTGGCAGCCCCAGGAAAGACCCGATCCTCTAGGCAGTGGGTATGCTCATCAGAAAGACTGAGAAACGCGAGATTATTCCCGAGCAGAGCCAGAAGCAGCCCCCAGCTCTTTGTCGACTGAGCCATTTTCATGGTCCAAAGATCGGGTGCGTGCTGCCCAGCGCCTAGATCACGGTGAGCGTCGTTTTCCAGGACCATTGAGCATTAGCATCGTCGTGTTCTCTTGCGATCCCCGAGCAGGCCAGGGCAGGTCCTACTTGCGTGTAGGTCTTGCTAAGTCTTCATTCGCGTATCAGTCAGGTGCCGGAGAGTTCCTCTCCCAGCACGGCGGTCTCCCCTTGTACGGATCGCCGTGCACTGTCGAGTCCAGACCTAGCGAAGACCTGGCAGGCCCCATTGCCGCTGAGACGTCAACGGGCTTCCCGCACATTCGAGGCCGAGTAGACAGTGGCAGATGGAGCATTTCAGAGAGGTGTGGCAGTTGAACGGGAGAACGACAAGGGTTTTAGGGCATGGGCGGCTTGACGCTAGTGCAAGCAGAGGAGCTTGACAAGACAAGAGAAGGCTTGCGAAGTGGAGGCAGGCTGGCAGGCTGGCAGGCTCGGGCAGGGTGTGTGGGATACTTTTTGTTGCCCTTGTACCCAGGTAAATGTATATATCTAGGTACATGTGGTACACCCACGGAAGTGCAGCCATTTCCCGACAGGAGGGGTGCCGAAGCCAGGGGCTCCCTGCTGGTCCCGGGGTTGTGTCGTGGCTGCTGGATTGGGATTTGGGACGTGCCCGGCGGCATTGGCACTGCACTTTGCTGCCGGGTTGCCTTAGGTGTTTTCTTCGGCACACCCCCCAGACGTCATTTTATCAGTCCGACTGTCCACTTGCACCCACACCCATTGCCCTCCCGTCCTGGCAGGAGCCATCACTGACCTGCTGTCCATTGGGTCACGCCTACCTCATGTGTCCCCAATCGCGAGATAATTACCTAGGAAGTCCTTTCCATTGCTTTAAGGTAGGTAGGCAGGTGCTACGTAGATGGGTCAGGCAGTTGCGACAGGCGAGCTCTCGTCTCTGTCCTAAGCAATACCTACATACCTACTTTAGCTATCTCACATAGGTTCTGACCTCACCATATCAATCTTTCTTACCTGACCAGGAAGAAGTGACGATTTCCCTGTCTCCTCAATCTCCCCGTCATTGTTGCCAACTCGTTGCAACGCCTCTCCGCCACGCCTCGCCCTGCCCAGCTCACAATTTCGTCGATGGCTCCTGGCCATCCAAGGCGAAATTGGCTCACTCCAGATGACTCGCCCCGTGCAGCATCACCCTTTAGTCATACCCAGCTCGACCTAGCAATTCAACATTTCCATCATTTTGCGGTCAGTGCGACAAACGCCTGGTAAGCAGCATGTCGAGCGATTTTGTCACTTCTCAAACGACCACGACAATGATGGACTCCTGCTCCCCTCCTCATACCCCTCCTATTGCCTCTGATCGGTGGGCTAGGTACGAGGACATGAGATCGTATGTCCCCATTTTCTTGCTGTGGAGCTGCTGGATGCAGCCCACCTCGATTCACAGCCCACTCTCAGGTGTCGTGGATCAGTACTTATCGCCGACCCTCCGCTCAAATGCAGGTCCCAAGTAGACGGTTTGACTCGTCTTCTCTATGATGAGGTCGCAAGCGACTTTGGCTCACAAGCATATCTCCTCTAAGCCATGGGCAAAGCCGTGGACACATTTCAAAGCCCCAGAGACCAACTAATCTACATCCCTAGTGGCAATCGTATATTGCCAGCATACTTCACATGACTACAACATCTGACTGCCAGACTACCACAGTAAATTTGCGATCTCGAAGTGATGACACCCAGTCAGAACTCTCACCCCCGCAGACTGGTCACTTCACTTGTAATTACTTCGCCAATTGTCATTCTCCTCGATGAAAAATTTGAGGATGTGACTTTGCCCGGATCCTAGCCGATATGGAGGCTCTGTTATGCTTCTTTAGCCAAAAAATCCCATTATACACACAATTGCACGCCATTTCTTTCAAAGGTATCTCGCATACCGTCGACACAAGCAGACTGGACAAGTGGGAGCAGCAACATGTCGCGCATGTGTCCGCGGCGTCTCTAGCTTGGACATGGAGGGGAACCGGGGATCCGGAGCTGGATGCCTAGTGAGAACTCTCCCGTCCAGCCAGTGTGCATCTGGAGCCTCTTACGGTGAGACACACAGGTTGCCACCACCAAATTCAATCACCCAGAGACTCTCCGGCGATTCAAATCTCTTGATGTGCCATTCGCAAACCGCACTGAAAAGATGTTTTGCGGGGACTGTCTTAGAAAATTGTTAGCTAACACGATCCGCCGGCCACAATCGTTTCGTCCCGTCCTGGACGCTATTCAAGTGTGGTGGAGTGAAGTACCAGGGGTCGCCCGATCTCTTTCCGCCAAGGCAGGGTTCATGGATTTGACGATTGGTTCAATCAAATCCAAGAACGCGCGGGTTGACCAGGAAGCCTCAATCCTGGCGCACCAAAGACAACGCACTATCTATAACACGGTCGCTTCAAGGTGCGCCTGGGCAACGGGATATTATACCGAACTCATGGTGGGATCACCTTGGCTCAACCACCAAATGCAAGTCTCTTCACATTGCCTGTATCCTCATCGGCCCCCATTCGTTCTTGGACCGCTGTCAAGCGACGGCCTGCTTTGGCACACATCCGCATTTCTCGAGTCCTAGGAATATTTGAATGCAACCTGATGTCATTTAATACTGAGCCAGTCAACTTTTAAAGGATTGCATCTAAGATAGTGCCGAAAGCTGGCTTCGTGGCTGGGGCTATCTCGCGGCCGTCATTGATCGTGTCCCGTCTCTCTACCGGCCGCAATGTCTTACACCAACATTGGCCGACATGATCCCCCGGGCGGCACAGCTAAGACCACACCGAACCCCTAGGCAAGGGGCACGACGTGCCTCGTTGCCATCATCTCTTGTCAATTAGGACAGAACAGCAGCGGGCTGGATGGTCGATATCCCAATATGACGTGCGTTCGTAGAGAACATATTTCTGGCTGAGGATTATTCAAGCCTCGACCCACTCAGAGCGGATAGCCACCTGACCTTGAACACATACTACCTATACCAGTACACTCGCTCTTAGGGTCCGGTCTCTCAAGACCCGGCAGCAAAACGTCTACCATGTTATGCATAGTACCTCAACCCGACTATGGCGGGGTAGCATGCGGCCGTACCACCGTCCGTCTTCGACAAGCCTCAATGATGGGTTTATCTCCAACTTCTCCTCTCCTATTATCAGAACCATCAAGCTAGATTGCTCGAATCGAAGGCATGATGATTGGAGACAGCGCAAGGTGGGGTATTCCTCTAAGGCTAGGGTACCTTGGCGGGCGAAAAACTCCTTGCCTTGGATTCACCACGATGTTCCCTGTGACGCGTGCCCCACAAAGCTGAGATCCCGCTGTCCCTGTTCAGGTCAGCCTAGATATCCGCCCGGCTCCTGATCCGCTCCGCTGGCTGGCTAGTGTTCACTCTCTGAATCCGAGGCCGGTGCAAAGATGAAGCCCGCAAAACGGGAAAGCCCGTGATTACTTCCCCAGATTGTATGCCGTGCGGGCTTCAAGGCGCAAACCAGACGAATAGCAACAAAGAAACAACCAGTCAGCCAGCCATATGTTCCCGGTCCAGGTTGGACACAACGGCGTCCCGAATGAGGCTTGTGCTGCTGCGATGCCAATCATCGTTTAGCAC